TTGATGAATCTCTAAGAGGACTCATAGGATGCAATATACAGCCATATTCATTGTGGTGATTTATTACAAAGAATGTAGAGCAAAATGAGCAAACAGAAGAGAAGTATGGGGTGAAGATGGAAGAACCAAGGCACAGGCTTTGAATAGTCTTTTACCAGTTGACTCACGTGGGACTGGTTAATTCTTTTGGCAGCAAATGTGATGACCTGTGTTAAATACTGTCTGCCAAGGGGCTCAGTGGAAACTCAGTGCCCAGTGTTTATATTGAGAGGTGGTCATATAGGTCTTGAGAATCATAGACTTCCATAAGGAAAACAGACTTCCAGAATAAACCCCATTGTTTGCCGGCTTAGATGAAACCTCCTGAAACCTAGTTCCCACAGGCTGACTTTGCAAAGCAGGCCATTCTAAGGAGCACAGTCTCATGCCTGGTATGTCAGGTTTTCTTTTTCTTTTTAAAAAAATGTTTATTGAAATAAATAAAACTCATATACTAAGTAACTCGCCTATTTAAAATGTGCAATGCAGTGGTTTTTAGTACATCCACTAAAATGTACACCCATCACCACAGTCGATTTTAGAATGCTTTCACCACCTCAAAAAGAAGCCCTGCACCTTAGCTATTCCTTTCCCATCCATCACCACAGCCCCCACTGCTCCAGAAGTAAGCAGCCTCTAATCTGCCATATATATGCCTCTGTAGACTTCCCAGTTCTGCACATTGCATATGTGCTCTTTTGTGGCTGGCTTTTTTTTTTATTTAGCATGTTTTCAGTGTCCATTGATGTTTTAGCATGTACAGGTACTTCATTCCTTTTTATGGCTAAGTAGTATTCCATTGTATGAATATTTAGCCATTTATCTCCTGATAGACATTTGGGGTGGCTACCTTTTATGACTACCAAAAATACTTCTGTTAACTCTCTTCTACACAGCCTCCAAATATTAATGATTTTTTGTACCTATAATCGTGTCTGAGATTTATCATGTTTTGATATCAGTGTTATGTTAGCATATTAAATCATTTGGGATCACCATATATTTCATTTTCCCTATGGCCTACAATAATTTAATTTGAGAATTAATAGTTCTTTGAAGTTTGAATAAAATTTAACTTTCAATCTGTCTGATCTGGATGTAATTTTCAGTAGGAAAACTTTTGTTTGTTTTCTGTTCTAAACTAGTTTGTGTTTTTCAGTCTTTCTTTTTCTTGAGTTAATTTTGGCAGCTTGTATTTTGTTAGGACATTATCTAGTCCTTTAGATTTCCAGAGTTACTGCTGCAAGGCTTAAGTGGTATACATTCGGGGTTCTTTTGATAGCTTATGTATCTGTGCTTATTTCTCCATCATTTCCATTTGTGTTTATGTTTCTCTTTTTTTTTTTTCCATTTTGTTAGACTTGTGAAGATTTTGTCTGTATGAGTTTTTAGAAAAATTTAGCTTTGTATTTTTGCTTTTTTTTTTTTTACTATAAATCAGCCTGAAAATCAGTATTTACCCATGTCCCTCCTCCCTTAGTTTATGATTTCACAATTTTTGCTCTGCTTTTCTGCTTTCCCACAGCATGTTCAACTTTTTTTCAGTCTTTAATTGTGGACAACTCTGAATCATTGCTAGAAGTGTTTATCAATTTACTCTTCCCTTTCTAGCAATCCCAGTAGATAGATATTGACACTTTTAAATTTCACCTCTGCCTCTTCATTTTTTTAAAAAAAGTTTATATTAGGCCGGCGCCGCGGCTCACTAGGCTAATCCTCCGCCTTGCGGCGCCGGCACACCGGGTTCTAGTCCCGGTCGGGGCGCCGGATTCTGTCCCGGTTGCCCCTCTTCCAGGCCAGCTCTCTGCTGTGGCCAGGGAGTGCAGTGGAGGATGGCCCAGGTGCTTGGGTCCTGCACCCCATGGGAGACCAGGAAAAGCACCTGGCTCCTGGCTCCTGCCATCGGATCAGCGCGGTGCGCCGGCCACAGCGCGCCGGCCGCGGTGGCCATTGGAGGGTGAACCAACGGCAAAGGAAGACCTTTCTCTCTGTCTCTCTCTCTCTCTCTCTCACTGTCCACTCTGCCTGTCAAAAAAAAAAAAAAAAAAGTTTATATTTTCTACCTTATTCTTTTTTTAATGCTGTGTAAGAGAATTTCTTGGTGAATTTATTACTCACAAATATATTATTCCTCCAATTCAGTTTGCTGGTTAACCAATACTTTGAAGTTTTTTTACTTTATCAACTTTTAAAATCTATACATGTCTTCCATTGGTAAACATATACTATGTTTATTTTAAAATTGTGTTCTAGTTATTCTGTTTGCTATGAAATGTATTGTTCCGTTTATTGCCTTTCTTTCATACTGCTTATACACTCCCAAGTGTCTGGTTTGATCTTTCCTCCCAGTGCCAAGTTGTAAGTTAGTAATGTTTACCTGGGAGGAGACTGAATGAGTAGGCTGTAATTACTGTGTCTTCAGGTGACTTTAGGAAACAGAGGTGGGAGTGTGGGGGCTTAATTGTGGGTAATGGAGTTTGAAAGTTGGTTCCAAAAAGGAATTTCCTGTTGCCCTTCCTGAAGGTAAGATCTCCAGGTTCTGCTGTCCTCTGTTCTATTTATGGAGTAGGGGTGAGGACAGAGCATACAGGAGCCCTGCGGGTCACCTGTACTGTTTCCACTCTCTTACCTAGTTGTGCCCCAGTGCTCTCCTGATGCAATAACATCCCTTATCCTCCAGATGGCATTTGGGTGGTGGCAGAGCTTTCTGTCTCACTGCATTGCGTAGGGTAGGAATTCTGTGCCCAGAGCAATGTCAGGAATGGGAGAGGTCACAACTAGAAGGAGCTTTCTCAGTCCATAAGGTTAGGCTCTCTCCATCGCTTGGCTCTTGTTTCCCTCCCACTCCAGAAGCCTCACTTTCGTGTCCCCAACATATCTCCTTGTTTCTCTCCTTTTTTTGGTAATCTCCAGTGATGGGTTGGAGGGTGATAACCAGGGGCACATACCAGTTCGACATCTTGTGCAAGAAAAAAAGCTATAATATTTTTTAAAAATTAACTGTTTGTGTCTCTTCCCTTCACCAAATTAAGCTGCTTAAGGGCAGATTGTTTCATAGACCTTAGCTCAGTTAATGGTTTAGACTTGGTACCATAAGAATTGTTTGTTGAAAGAACATCATTTCAAAAGGAGTCCACCATTAAAAATAAGAATTGAATACCAATACAGAGCTCCCTTAATGTTGTAAAAAAATGACTAAGTTTATTAAAAACTTAATTTGTATGAAACATTTTGGGATCAGTTAGGTCACCTTAGAGGAGGTTGCAAACTAGTTCATTAGGAGAGTTCAACCAACATAAAGTTTTGTAATTCCTAGAACACTTAACTTACATGAAAGCAGGATTGATCAGTGAATCAGTAGCTTCACTGATATGAAGAAGCTATGAATCAGAATTGATAAGAATGTAGGTAAGACCAAGAAGGTAATAAGTGGTCAGGAAATAGCCTCTGACTTTAATTCTTTAGAGACCCATGCTTTTCTTTAGTCTTACATTTTTTTTCTTTAGATTTATTTTTTTGAAAGAGTGACAGAGAGAGAGAGAAATATATCTTCCATCTACTGGTTCACTCCCCAAATGGCTGCAACAGCCAGAGCTGGCCAGGCTGAAGTCAGGAGCCAGGAGCTTCTTCCAGGTCTCCCACATAGGTGCAGGGGCCCAAGAACTTGGGCCAATTTCTGCTGCTTTCCCAGCACATTAGCAGGGAGCTGGATGGGAAGTGGAGCAGCCAGGACTCGAACCTGCACCCATATGGGATGCTGGCAGTGGCTTTATTTGCTGTGCCACAGTGCCAGCCCCAGCTTAAGTGCCTCGTTGTCATAGAGGGCATTTGATAAATGATACTGCACTGACTTTTGCCTTCTGCCTCACCTTTTTGTGCTATGAAAATGGAACTCAATGCCTTCAACCTGGTGTTAAAGCTGGAATCTTTATAGAGGGCTCACGTGTGGCCCTATAGCTCCCTTTCCAACCCACTCCTTTTGACCATCTTTATTTCTCCGTGCTAGGTTTCTTATCCTTCGTGCCATACCAGATATGCTCTAGTCTCTGTCTTTAAGGTGCTCTTTACTCTGCTTGGAATTCCTTCCTTCAGGTGGCTTCTTCATTGCTTTAGAATCTTCGGGCAGATATAACTTTCTTAATGAAACTTTCCTTGATTGCCCTCTTCAAAAGTGCAAATGTTTCACAATATATGTACTTCCATCTCCTTTGCTCAAATTGTTTTTCGGTTAGCACTTAGCACATACCACTTCAAGCACACACTCTACAATTTATGATTTATTATAGCATTATCTGCCTTTCCTCATTATGTTAGTTCAGGGCTTAATAAATGTTTGTTGAATAAAAATGCCGGAAGGAAATTCAGTTAGTTAAGAAAAAACTTTGTTAGTAATACTTGATTGTTTTTAATTCAAAAGTTTAACATTTAAAATCTGTTTAACTCTGCTTTTGTAAGATGGAAATTTACTTAATTCAGTCAGGTTTATCAGTTAGTGGTTTCTTCCAAATTGTTATACATATCAATTTACATAAAATCTACTGCCTTTCTTGCAGAGTATGATTGTACATAAGATGGATAACAATATGGAGTGTTACAATAAAAAATTTATATTACTATATATACACACGTTTCTTTTAATGAACAAATTAACTTAGTGTTGACAGATAAAAGATACCACCTGAGATTTAATTTATTTCTAATATTTTGTGGGATATTTTCCTTATGAAACCATCTTTTGAAAATTGTAAACTTGAAGTAGGTGATGGCTAATGTCACATTGACATTAAACATGTTTCAATGATGAAATATGTTGTCATTTGCCTATTTTAGAATGTTATTAGTTCTCATCCTTTTTATGATAAATTTTATTTCTATATTCAGTATTTCAGTTCAAATAGTAATTTAGGAATTGCCTTGATCAGGTTTCACTTTTATTTATACATTTCTTTTCTTTCTTATAGATGTGCTTTGAGGTCACATTGACATGAATTAATGGAGTCACCTTTGATAACTTCACCTGGGAGAGAGACTTCTTTTTTATTAAAAAAAATAAGGAAAACAAGTAACCAAAGGAATCATGCCAAATATCACTCTACATCTTTTTGTGTCATCAGTATCTACTTTTTAACCTATCAAGACAAATGGCTTTTACATTAAAGAAAATAATTTGTTCATTGATATTAACAGTTTGAAAAGAATCTTCATCTTAACCTATATAATCATATAAAATTGAACACATATAAAAACATTTAAGGCCTTTTTTAAAATAGAGTACTTTTTAGCTTTTGGAACTTCAACATTGAAATACCTTGTTTTTACTTGTCAAAATCCTCAAAACAATTGTAATAGGAAAGATATGGACTTGGAAATCTGCGTTATTGTAACAGATTGCTGTGAATTTAAGTGGACAGTTCAAGACATCATCCATTGCATCATCAGAAATATCACATAAGTGAATAATTCTCGGCTTTAATGCAGAAAAAGTTGCTTGAAGATGGCTTGGGTGAAATTCTTACGGAAACCTGGTGGCAATCTTGGAAAAGCTTATCAACCTGGGAGTATGCTATCCCTAGCACCAACCAAAGGCTTGCTAAATGAACCAGGTCAAAATAGCTGCTTTCTTAATAGTGCTGTGCAGGTAAGACCTAATTATTTGTGTTTTTTTTTTTTTTAAAGATTTTATTTATTTATTTGAAAGTCAGAGTTACACAGAGAGGAGAGAGAGAGAGAGAGAGGTCTTCCATCTGCTGGTTCACTCCCCAGTTGGCCGTAATGGATTTGCACTGATCTGAAGCCAGGAGCCAGGAGCTTCCTCCGGGTCTCCCATGCGAGTGCAAGGGCCCAAGGATTTGGGCCATCTTGTACTGCTTTCCCAGGCCATAGCAGAGAGCTGGATCAGAAGTGGAGCAGCCAGATCTCGAACAAGCGCCCATATGGGATGCTGGCGCTTCAGGCCAGGGCATTAACCCACTGCACCACAGCAGCAGCCCCAAGACCTAATTATTTGTTAAATTTTTATCCATACTTTTCAGGAAATCTCTAGTTTAATCTTTCTTAACTCATAAATTAAGAATAATGTTATTATTGATTAGAATGATTTCTTAATACCACTTTTAATGGAAACAAAACTATTTTTGCTGGACACTTTGGTTTTTATAGTAAGTGGAAATTGCTTTTTGAACAGAATGATATACCACTGTAATTTATTAAAAATAAATATTTATTAAGCATTTTATATTAAAATGTTTATTAAATTAAGGATATGTTTCTAAAATACATATATTTAAAAATTTTTAAGCAGTTAACACCACCTCCTCATCCTTTTTAAGAAGTTTAGTGTGCATCTTGATTGATAGATAAAAGAAACAAGGTCTTGGGTTGAAATGAGAATGCATGATTTTTGATGTTGGTCCTTAAGCTCACTTACCCCATGTGGCCCTGAAATCAGTGCCCCTGTGGAATCCTAATTTGAGTACCACTGTTTGATCACTTTGAAGATACATCATTTTGCTTTAATCTTCGTAGAAATTTCATTAATTAAATAATATCTATTAACCTTTTTTTCTTCAAAAAGTGTTCTTATGTATAATTTGTTATATTCAACAGTTTTAGATAGGATTGACAAGTAACTGCACTATTAAAAATGAGTAAGATATAGGATATTGAAATGCTTTTCTATTGGCCTTAGAATATACATTAAAAGAGTTCTTCAAAGTAAATCACTTTCCATGTATATATGTAAATATATATTTTTAAAAGATTTATCTATTTATTCGAAGGGCAGAGTTAGAGAGAGAGAGAGATCATCTATCTGCTGGTTCACTTCCCATATGGCTCCAATGGCTGGGGCTAGACTGGGCCAAAGCCAGGAGCTTCATCTAGGTCTCCCATACGGGTTGCTGCTTTCCCAGGTGCATTAGGCGGGAGCTGGATCGGAAGTAGAACAGCTGTTACTTGAACTGGTGCCCATATTGAATGCCAGTATTGCAGGTGTTGGTTTAACTCACTGTGCCTCAGCGCTGGCCCCATGAATGTATTCTATTTTCTCCTGACAACTGCAGAGAGATAAAATACACATTAGTGTTTGTCAGGTCCTCAGATATCTAACTCAAAGCTGTGTTCCCAGTTGCCCTCTAGCCTGGGACGGATGTCTAACTTGAAGATTCTTAAGGTTACCAGGGAAAGCGAAGCAGTGGGTACAAGGAAAGTATTCATTCTCCTTTACTCTAGGACTCTTCAGTGGCAGTCAGTGCTCTGCTCATTCCAAAAGGCTCTACTGGCATTGGTTGCTATGAGAAAGCAGGAGAACTCTATTTCTGATCTTTTCCCATTACCCCTTTCCTATTCTTTTTCACTTTTATATTTTCCCTTCTGTTCCTGTTTTTTTCTTTAGTTCTTCAAATATTTTTTATAGTTTAGGGAGATGAAAAGCATATTATAACAGAAAATTCTGAGTAAACAAGCATATATGGATAAGAAATTAGAGAAATATTTGTAAGATGGTACATTTAAATTTTATTTTTTTTTTATTTGAAAGACAGACTTCAAGAGATCTGTAATCTGCTGATTGACTCCCCAAAGGCTCACAGTAGCTGGGGCTGGGTCAGGCTGAAGCCAGGAGCTGGGAACTCATTCCAGGTCTCTTAGTGGGTGGCAGGGACCCAAGTACTTGAGCCATCACCTGTTGCCTCCCAGGGTGCACATTAGTGTGAATCCAGAATCAGGAGCAGAGCTCAAACCCAGGCACTCTGATGTGGGATGCAAGCATTTCAAGAGGCACCTTAACTTCTTTACCAAATACCCACCTTATATATTTTTTTGAAAAAGGAATATTTCACTGACCTCTGCTATACTAACTATACTTTTCCATGTAGTTATTTCTCATGCTCATCTTTAGTTTGTCCCTAATTTGCATAGTTCTACCTTTTCATCTTGAATTTTTTTCTTCTGCCCAAAGGACCTCTTTTAACGTTTCTTGTAGTGTTACTAGTCTGTTGGTGACAAGTTCTTTTAGCTTTTATGTGTTAGAAGAAATGTGTTCACTCTTATCTGTTTGAGAGGTAGAGTTACAGAGAGATGCAGAGAGAGAGAGAGAGAGGTCTTCCATCCGCTGGTTCACTCCCAAATGACCCCAATGGCCGGAGCTGCGCTGATCGGAAGCCAGGAGCCAGGAGCCTCCTTTGGGCCTCCCTCATGGGTGCAGGGGTCCAAATGCTGGGGCCATCGTCTACTGCTTTCCAAGGCCATAGCACAGAGCTGGATTGGAAGAGGAGCAGCGGGGCCTAGAAACGACACCCATATGGGATGCCAGTGCTGCAGGCAGAGAATTAACTTACTGGATCACAGTGCTGGCCCCTCACTCTTGTTTTTGAAAGCTATTTTTACTCTGATTAAAGGGTTCTAAGTTGACATTTCTCTTTTAGTCCTTTAAAGATTTTGCTTCTCTCTGTTAGCTTGCATCTTTTTCTGCTCTACGTAATGTGTCCTTTTCCTTTGCTTTAAAGATTTTCTTATCACTGGTAAAAACAATTTAATTATGTGTCTTAACATCATGTCTCTTGTGTTTGGTTTGTTGAGCATCTTGGATCAGCAGATTTTTAATTTTAAAGAAATTTGAGAACTTGTTGACTGCTGTTTCTTCAAATGATGTTTCTGTCTCCTCCTCTGCATGACTCCATTTACATGTCTAGGCGTAGGTGGTTGCTTGAAGTTGCCCCATGGCTCACTGATGCTGTCTTCATTTTCTTTATAGATTTTTTCTGTTTCATTTTGTATGGTTTCTATTACTCTATTTTCAAGTTCTTTTATCTTTTCCTTTGGAATGTCTTATCTACTATTAATCTCATTCATTGTATTTTTTATTTTAGAAATTGTATTTTTCACCTCTAGAAGTTTGATATGGGTCTTTTTTTTTAACAAAAAGATTTGTTTATTTGTATGAAAGGCAAAATTATAGAGAGGGAATGACAGCAAGAGAGAGAGAGAGAGAGAGAGAGAGAGAGATTGATTGATTTCATCCACTAGTTCACTCCCTGAATGGCTGCAATGGCTGGGGCTGGACCAGGCTAAAGAGAGAGAGAAAGAGAGAAAGATATTTCACCCACTAGTTCACTCCCTGAATGGCTGCAATGGCTGCGGCTGGACCAGGCTAAAGCCAGGAGCCAGGAGCTTCATCCCACATGGTTGCAGGGGTCTAAGCACTTGGGCCATCTTTGGCTGCTTTCCCAGACACATTAACAGCAGCTGGATCAGAAGTGGAGCAGCCAGAACTTGAATTGGTGCCCATATGGAATGCTACCTGCTATTCCACGATACAGGCCCCATGATATGCATCTTGAGATCCCTTTCATTTTTCTACTTAAATGTGTTCAGTCTTACCTGTAGTTGTTTAAATGTGTGGAATCCAGCTGTAGTAGTTGATGTGATGTACTTGCCGTAGTGTGTTTTAGTGTATTTTTTTTTCTTCCTCATTCTGGGATTCTGGCTTGTATTTTCTCGTTTCTTTGAATGTCTGGTGATTTTTACTAGATGTCAGACAAGTGTTAAGATATAGATACTTTTATAGCCCTAAAAATAATCCTGAACTTTGTTGTGGGACAAGGTTAATTTATTTGGACGCAATGTGATCATTTTACTCTTTAGCTTTAGTAGGAAAGAACTTTTTTGTTACAACAGAAATGTGTTTATTCTAGGGTTCATTTCTCTTCACTTGGGACCTTTCCTCAAGCGAGGCCCTGTGAATTCTGAAGTTTCCCACTTGGCTGTTGGGAACAGGGCACTATCCTGGCCTGTGTGAACTCTGGGTAATGTTTCTTCAAGTCCTGTTGGGTATTTCTTTACCAGGCTTCAGGGCATTTCCTATTACTCACCAGAATACTCAGGGAAACCTCTAGAGATCCCTGGTTTTAATTGCAGCTCTCTCCTCTGCTGTGCTTTGCTCTGCCAACTCTATAAACTTTGGGGCATCTACTGGCCTCTGATGTTTGCTTTATAAACTAATTGGCAAGGCCACTCCTTACCAACAAAACATCTATTCAAATAGACTTTGTGAGGACAGTTTGTGGTGGAGCAGGTTAAGCCACTGGTTGACAGTGGCATCCCATATCGGAGTCCTGGTTCAAGTTCTATTTGCTCCAGTCTCCTGCTAATGTGTCTTCTACTCACATGGGAAATACAGATGGAATTCCTGGCTCTTGACTTGTGCCTGGACCAGCCCCAGCCCTAGGGGCCATCTGGGAAGTGAACCAGCAGATGGAAGATCTTTCTCTTTCTCCCCTACCCCCACTACTCTGTCTCTTCCTCTCTCACTCTGCCTTTTAAATAAACAAATAAATCTTAAAGAATTCCAGAAAAATCCAGAAAAATCTTGACTTCAGTTTTAAGAATTCAAAATACTGAGGCCGGTGCTGTGGCGTAGTAGGTAAAGCTGCTGCTTGTAGCATCAGCATCCCATATGGGCGCTGGTCCCTGCTGCTCCACTTCCAATCCAGCTTTCTTGTAACGTGCCTGGGAGAGTGGTCCAAGTACTTGGACCTCTGCACTCATGTGGGAGAACCTGAAGAAGCTCCTGACTCCTGGCTTTGGATCAGCTCAGTTCCGACTGTTACTGCCATTTGAAGAGTGAACCAGTGGATGGAAGACCTCTCTTTGTCTCTGCCTCTCTCTATATAACCCTGCCTTTCAAATAAAATAAATAAAGCTTTAAAAAAATTCAAAATCTAATATTAATATAGCTTTTGATTAATACTTTGAAGAAATGCTGATAAATTGTAGAAGCCAGTGCTGTATTATATATACTCGAAACCCAAACAAAACAAATGCTCTATAAACTCTAAAAGTGAACATTATTGAATTCTAATAGTTATATTTAACTTAAGATTTTAATGGATTTTTATCTTTGCAGATTTTTGAAATTTGTATTAAATTGATAAAACTTCATTTCTATTATATTCATAATGTTTCAGTATTCACAATATTAAGATAGTGAAGCAAAAACAACAAAAAATAAATTGTGAAGCCTTCTTAAGTTAGTAAAAGTCGACATTGTTAAAATAGTGTAGATCTATTGGAAGTCATAAAAGTGAATCTATGTGCCATTTCTCATTGCTAAATTTTTAAGTTCTATTTTGAGGTGAGGAATAGAGTGAAAAGTTTGTGTTCATTTGTTTAATGTGTGTGCATGTATGCATTGGTCTTTTGGAACTACTACCTGAGAAATATCTGTATATATTAATAGCTATTAATTTTGTTAGATGTCATGTTGCATTACTACATGCAAATTATCCAAAAAGGAAAATCTATATTGCTAAAATCTATTCCAACAACTATCCTAGGCTTTAACTTTTTACAATAGGTAATAGATGAAATAAGGATTAATCTAATTAGAGTAATTATTTTGTGATAAGTATTCATTAAAGTAGTCTTTATACTTTGTGTTGAGTAATACAGAGAACTTGAAAGAAATCATAGAAGTATGTATGTTTTTCTGTAGTTTGATCCAGTGTCCAATGTAGTTTCAAAACTTTGGTAGTCCTAAAAAACTTGCCAGTTACATTGGGAAGACTTCACTGGCCTTAGAGGTTCTATTTTGAATGAATACTTTATAGTTTCATCTGATGAGAAGGCAGTACAGTTAAATAAATATGACATATTAGTGTGATGTCTTACGTCTCTGAGTTAGAGACAAAGTTAGAATACTTAAAAGCTAACATTTACTGTGTTCTTACTGAACATTAGAAGTGTTAATCTAATTTCATCCTTACAACAACCCTGAGGTAGGTACCACTTTTATCCTTAGTTTATTGATGAAAAAACCAGATCTCAGAAAATGTTTTTCCCAAGTCAAGTCCCAGGGCAGGTAAACAGTGAAGCTGAAATTGGAATTCAGGCAATCTGCTTTCAAGATGGTGGTGTTAACCACAGTGCTGCACTACCTCTAAAGCTGTGCTGTTGTTGATTTTTTGGTAAAATGCATTCCAAGGTAGTATTTTTTTATAGTATGATAAGAAATGGTATGCAGGAAAGTTAGGAAATATGTAAGTGCTTGGTAAAGCACTTAGTTGTTTGTAGTAGATAAATGGGTCCTATTGTGTTTTAAGAAAAAGAAGCTTTCAAAGGGAAGTTCTGAAATTAAGTTGTTAAAAACACAGGATACAGGCACCCATATTGGATTATGTGCATTTGAGTCCTGTTCTGGATCCCAGCTTCTTACTAATGCATACCTGGGGAGGCAGCAGGTATGATGACTCATAGAGCTGAGTTCTTGCCACCCACATGGGAGGCCTGGATTGGGTTTCTGGCTTCCAACCATTTGAGTGAACAAGTGGTTGGGAGGTGTCTGTCTCCTTCCCTGTCAAATGAAATAAATTAATTAAAAAAGAAATTACTTACTATTTGCCATTTAAAAAATATCTGCACATCGATCTTTAATATCTTTAATCTTTTTTTTTTCAAATCTGTTTTCTAGGTTCTGTGGCAATTGGATATATTCCGACGAAGTTTACGAGTTCTGACTGGTCATGTTTGTCAAGGAGATGCCTGTATATTTTGTGCTTTGAAGGTAACCTTTTAATAGTTTGAAAAACATTATCAATTGCTTCTCAAAAATTTAATTTTTATACTTGACATATTTGATCAGTTGATTTATAAGTAAAGTTCATTTTAAAGTGATGTATAGTTTCGAGGATGAATTCTTGATGTATGATTTATTCAGGTTTGTGGGTTTTTTTTTTTTTTTTTTTTTGACAGGCAGAGTGGACAGTGAGAGAGAAAGACAGAGAGAAGGTCTTCCTTTTGCCATTGGTTCACCCTCCAATGGCTGCCGCGGCCGGCGCACCACGCTGATCCAAAGGCAGGAGCCAGGTGCTTCTCCTGGTCTCCCATGGGGTGCAGGGCCATAGCAGAGAGCTGGCCTGGAGGAGGGGCAACCGGGACAGAATCCGGTGCCCCGACCGGGATTAGAACCCGATGTGCCAGCGCCGCAGGCGGAGGATTAGCCTATTGAGCCGCGGCACCAGCCAGGTTTGTGGGTTTTTAAAAAGATTTATTTATTTGAAAGGCTGAGTTACAGAGAACGAGGTAAGCACACACGCGCGTGCACACACACAAGGAGGGAGTTGGAGAGGGAGAGCGAGAGCTTCCATTCACTGGTTTATTCTCCATATAGCCACAGTGGCTGTGGCAGATCGATGCCAAGAGCCAAGAACTCCATCCGGGTCTTCCATGTAGATATAGGGGCCCAAGCATGTGGGCCATCTTTTGCTGCTTTCCCAGGCATATTAACAGGGAGCTGGATTGGAAATGGAATAACCAGAAGTGGAGCAGCCTGGAGTCCCACTGGTGCTTACTTGACAGGTAGTCACTGAAAACCTTTTCACCCCACTTTCTTCCATATGGGATGATTGTCATAAAACTGGAATTTATTAAAAGATTTTTCCTGTGATAGAAAGGGAGACAGAAGGAGAGTGGGAAGGAGTGGGTGGGAGGGGAAGGAAAAGAGGGAAGGAAGGAAGAAGGGAATATCATTATGTTCTTAGACTTGTATCTACAGATCATATTGAATCTGTTCAAAGCTAATTAAAAATTTTAGAAGTAAATAAAATTTTTCCTGCTTAAATTCAATAAGACTAGAAAATCATATTTACACCAATAATCTCAGGGCCAGCACTGCGGTACAGTGGGTAAAGCTGCTGCTTGTGGTGCCAGCATCCCATATGGGCGATGATTTGAGTCCCGACTGTTCCACTTCTGATCCAGCACCCTGCTAATGCTCCTGAGAAAGCAGTGGAAGATGGCCCAGGTGGTTGGGCCTCTGAGCCCATGTGGGAGACCTGGAAGAAGCTCTTGGCCCTTATGTGAGCTCCTCTTAATTTTTATGTGACTAGGACGGCGCCGCCGCTCACTAGGCTAATCCTCCGCCTTGCGGCGCTGGCACACCAGGTTCTAGTCCCAGTCGGGGTGCCGGATTCTGTCCCGGTTGCCCCTCTTCCAGGCCAGCTCTCTGCTGTGGCCAGGGAATGCAGTGGAGGATGGCCCAAGTGCTTGTGCCCTGCACCCCATGGGAGACCAGGAGAAGTACCTGGCTCCTGCCATCGGATCAGCACGTGCGCCGGCCGCAGCGCACCAGCCTCGGCGGCCATTGGAGGGTGAACCAACGGCAAAGGAAGACCTTTCTCTCTGTCTCTCTCTCTCACTGTCCATTCTGCCTGTCAAAAAAAAAAAAAAAAATTTATGTGACTATATGTTAATTTTTGGTCAGCATGATTTTAATTCCTGTAGTATATTTTTATATACTTACTGCAAAACTCTGTTCATTTAATGGCATGCATTAGAGTCATCTGAGGGAATATTTTAAAACTGGGCACACCTCAAGCTTATACAGTCAGAATCTCTGAAAACTCCATGTGTTAAATTCTTACACACATTAACATATGATGTGGAGACTGCTGCAGCTTTTTTTATACTTTACTCATTGAAATAATTGTTTTATATGGAATTTTAGAGTAAAAGACCGTTCCGTATTAGTTTGTGAGTATATTGAATTTCTCTGTGTTGCAATGAAATTTTGAAGTGTTTTTAAAGTTATTGGCATTAAACTTACTGATGTACTTGTTGATTCCCAGACAATATTTGCACAGTTTCAGCACAGCCGAGAAAAGGCACTTCCATCAGATAACATAAGGCATGCTCTGGCAGAAAGCTTCAAAGATGAGCAGCGATTTCAGCTTGGCCTAATGGATGATGCTGCAGAGTGCTTTGTATGTATCTGATAATCCTTCAGAAGTTAGAATAGTAGTTTTCATTGCTTAGGTAGCACTAATTTTGGAACAGTTGAAATAAAAATGTCCAATAATAGAAAAGTATCAGAACTGGTTGGTGCATCTGAGTCTTACCCATTCTGTAAGGCTCAATTTAAATCTGTCTCTTATTTTGGTGATTTGTGCTGCTCTAATTTTTGTTAGGTGACTGAACCTAAAAACTAAAAAACTTTGCAAACTTAAATCACAGTTCTGCCTCTACAGTATTTTCAAGTGCAGCACATTCTCAGCAGTGATATTTATCATTTCATGCACTGGTTCTCAAGGAGAGAGAAGGGAATCGTGGTGGGCAGCTATCAGTTGGGGTGATGATTTTGATACCACACGTCAGATTGAGAGTCACTGGGGCTGATGTTCTCAAGCTCCATGTTACCACCATGTTAATAATTAGAGCATTGCTTATACATCTTCTAAAATATGTATGTCGATTATTAAATATCTCAGTAAAATACAAGAGTACTTCATAGAAAAATGGAATAAAAACTAAGCTTATTTTTGTTCAAAAATTTTTTTGATATCTGTATATAGGTTTATCATAATATACATTTTCCATAGTTTTTTGAAGAACTCCGCGTGGATTTTTAAAAAATTTTTGCACCACAACAAACCAATCTTTTTTTTTTTTTTAAAGATTTATTTATTTGAGAGGTAGAGTTACAGACAGTGAAAGGGAGAGAAAAAGAGAGAAAGGTCTTCCATCCACTGGTTCACTCCCCAGTTGGCCGTGACAGCTGGAGCTGAGCCAATCCGAAGCCAGGAGCCAGGAGCTTCTTTCTGGTCTCCCACGTGGGTACAGGGGTCCAAGCACTTGGGCCATCTTTTACTGCTTTTCCAGGCCATAGCAGAGAGCTAGATCAGAAGTGGAGCAACCAGAACTAGAACCGGCGGCCATATGGGATGCCGGCGCCGCAGGTGGAGGATTAGCATGCTGCGCCACAGCGCTGCCCTAATAAACCCATCTTTTAATCCCCGTTTTTTTGAACATTTTTGAAGTACCCATGTAGATGTAATTTAGATTTAAGACATAGTCATTTTTTCTCTTGACCCTGTTTTTATTTATTTTATTTATTTTTTTAAAAGATTCACTTATTTATTTGAAAGGCAGAGTTGGGGGGGCGGGGTCGTCCATCCACCGATTCACTCCCCAAATGACTGCAAGGGCCGGAGCTGTGCCCATCCAAAGGCAGGAGCTTCTTCTGGGTCTCCCACGCAGGTGCAGGGGCCCAAGGACATAGGCTATCTTCCACTGCTTTCCCAGGCCATAGCAGAGAGCTGGATCAGAAGTGGAGTAGCCGGGACTTGAACCGGCGCCCATATGGGATGCAGGTGGAGGTGGCTTTACCGGCTATGCCACAGCTCCAAGCCCGACCCTGTTTTTATTTGGTGAATTCTGTAAATTCTTCCATCACAAACATTTTATGGTTTTCCTTTCATGTTATTTCCCCACCACCACTTCATTCTAGTTCAGATCTCTGCCATCAGCATTATTTAATTCTCCTTACTAGTGTCCATTCAGCCTTTATGGCCTATTTTTAAAAATAATACATATTTCCATGCCTTTTTTTTTTTTTTTTGACAGGCAGAGTGGACAGTGAGAGAGAGAGACAGAGAGAATGGTCTTCCTTTGCCATTGGTTCACCCTCCAATGGCCACTGCGGCTGGCACGCCGCAGCTGGCGCACCACACTGATCTGAAGGCAGGAGCCAGGTGCTTCTCCTGGTCTCCCATGGGGTGCAGGGCCCAAGTACTTGGGCCATCCTCCACTGCACTCCCTGGCCACAGCAGAGAGCTGGCCTGGAAGAGGGACAACTGGGACAGAATCCAGCGCCCCGACCGGGACTAGAACCTGGTGTGCTGGCGCCGCAAGGCAGAGGATTAGCCTATTGAGCCTCGGCGCTGGCCCTCCATGTCTTTTTGAAGGCACTTCAAATCATTCCTGGAATTTCTCTAGAATTTGCTATCTGTAGAATTCATTTGGCATTTCTATGTTCGCTTTTTTCTTGAATGAGTGTCTTGGTTTTCTTAGACAGATGGACAGCCCCTTGATCTGCATGTAGTGTAGCATACTTCTGTATTGATTAAAAATTGTGTAACAGCACACTCAGTAATAAAATTTTCATATTTTTGTTTACAATTGATCTATTACTTATAACATGAATAGATTTTGTACAACATTAAATTTAGAGTTTTACATTTTTAAAAGACTTATTTGTTTATTTGAAAGAGGAGAGGAAAGGCAGAGAGAGAGAGGTCTTCCATCTGTTGGTTCACTCTCCAGTTGGCCACAATGGTTGGAGAGCAGCTTTCCTAGTGCAGGCTGTGTGTCACTGGGGTTAGCAAGGCAGAGAAGACAGGAAAGGGGAGGCCCAGTGTCAGCATGGAGGGCCACATTCCCAGTCCCCCTGGGCAGATGGGCAAGCTGAGGGCTGAGGTGACAGCTTGTGCTGTGGTCACACCTCAGGCTCACACCCAGCCCCCTGCAAGACTCTAAGGAAGGACTTGTGGGCAGTTTGAGCCCAGCCCAGCATCTCAGACACACAAGCCCTGGGGTCGGAGGGCACGGCTGAAGCTGTGCTGATCCGAAGCCAGGAGCTTCTTCTGGGTCTCCCACATGGGTGCAGGGTCCCAAGGACTTGGGCCATCTTCTACTGCTTTCCCAGGCCATAGCAGATAGCTGGATTGGAAGTGGAGCAGCCGGGACTCAAACTGGTGCCCATGGGATGCCAGCACTGCAGGCGGTGGCTTTACCTTCTGTGCCACAGCACCGGCCCCAGAGTTTTACTTTCACATGAATGAAATTTACTGGTATACAATAATGATAATTCATGAAATGACTAGAAAACCAGGCTGACATCATTGAATGATTTTGAATTTCCTGGGCAGAGGAAGATTGTGTTAGAATCTCTTGGTTAATAAGCTTTGGGGAAAAATAAGGAGTATTCTGTTAAATAAATCCCTTTTATTTTTCTGTATTTTAAATCTGGACTTACTTATGAAATTTGTTGCAGTGCACACTGCCTGCATTATGTTATTTGTTGCTCCACATTTTATTACTGTAATGAAATACCCAAGACAGGCTAACTTTATAAAGAGATTTGTTGAGCTCTGAGTTTTGGAGGTCAAAAATCCAGAACTTGGCACAGACTCTGGTGAAGGCCCCGCTGCTATGATACCTTGTGACAGATGACAGTGGCGGGAATGCGGGCAGGAGGAGGAAATCACATTGCCAACAGTAAGTGGAGAGAGAGGGAAGGGGTAGGCAGGTTCCCACTTTAATTGACCATGGTGCCTTGAGAAATAGCTTATTCCCTCCTCTGGCATGTACTCTGTTGGCCTAAGAACCTCTCAGTAGGCCCCATTTCTTGAAGATTCCACACCAACTACTGTTACCAACCACCACACTGGGAAACAAGTTCCCAACACATGAGACTTAAGGGGCAAAGCACATACAAACCATAGCAGGGTGGATATTGAGCCTTTTTTTTTTTTTTTTTAAAGATTTTTTTTTTGACAGGCAGAGTGGACAGTGAGAGAGAGAGACAGAGAGAAAGGTCTTCCTTTGCCGTTGGTTCACCCTCCAATGGCCGCCGCGGCCGGCGCACCGCGCTGATCCGATGGCAGGAGCCAGGTGCTTTTCCTGGTCTCCCATGGGGTGCAGGGCCCAAGCACCTGGGCCATCCTCCACTGCACTCCCTGGCCACAGCAGAGGACTGGCCTGGAAGAGGGGCAACCGGGACAGAATCCGGCGCCCCGACCGGGACTAGAACCCGGTGTGCCGGCGCCGCAAGGCGGAGGATTAGCCTAGTGAGCCACGGCGCCGGCCGGATATTGAGCCTTTATCATTGATATTTTGATGTAAGTTATATGGATTATATAAGTAACTTAAGGAGCATTTTAAAATAGTTACTTGATATTTCTTAATATGAAAATGCTGAAATCACAGGAAACTATGTTTTCTAATGCTTTAGGTGTCAGCCACTATGAGTAGATTTTGCAAGTATCTTAAATGACTTTATTAAAAGTGCTGTATTATGTTTAATTTCTTTTGTTTATTTTTTTAAGCTAATGCTTTTACAAAAAGTAAATAATTGAGTAACAATTAAAATGTTTTATTAGAGAATGAACTTGAAAAGTTAACAGGATGTATGGCACACCTAAACTTACACTTAAGAAAATCTTCATTTAAAAAGAGTTTTTTTTTTCATTTTTAAAAAATTTTTATTTTATTTTATTTTTTTGACAGGCAGAGTTAGACAGAGAGAGAGAGAGAGACAGAGAGAAAGGTCTTTTTTCTGTTGGTTCACCCCAAAATGGCTGCTACAGCCGGCATGCTGCGCCGATCGGAAGCCAGGAGCCAGGCGCTTATCCCTGGTCTCCCATGCGGGTGCAGGGGCCCAAGTACTTGGGCCATCCTCCAGTGCCTTCCCGGGTCACAGCAGAGAGCTGGACTGGAAGAGGAGCAACCGGGACAGAATCCAGCGCCCCAACTGGGACTAGAACCCAGAGTGCCAGTGCCGCAGGCGGAGGATTAGCCTAGTGAGCCACAGCAATGGCCAAGAGTTGTATTTTTGAGGTGCTTCCTGCGAGATCAGCAACTCATTTGTCTTTTTAATTTTTAAATTAGGAAAATATATTGGAGAGAATTCATTTTCACATAGTGCCAAGCAGAGATGCAGACATGTGTACCTCTAAATCTTGTATCACCCACCAGAAGTTTGCCATGACTCTGTATGAACAGGTGAGGTGACCTAATTATTTTACTGCCTATTATGCTTGTGTTTTATGATTGATAGATTAAACATGTGTTTCTACCTATAGTGTGTGTGTCGTAGCTGTGGAGCATCATCTGACCCTCTACCTTTTACAGAATTTGTGCGGTACATTTCTACAACAGCCCTATGGTAAGAACCTATTAAAGAATATTTACCAAAGATGTTAATAACACATGTAAGCACAACAAGTTTCTATAAAACCATAACACATGTAAATTTCCCCTCTGACTTAGGCTAACAGATGCACTGTCATTAGAGGTACTATGAGATGTCTTCCTTAGTTGACTGCTTGTAATATAGCCTAATACAAATTGAGTATCCCTCTTCCAAAATGTTTGGGCCCAAAAGTATTTCAGATATTTTTTGATTTTGGAATGTTTTACATAAATATAATGATACATTTTAGGGATGGGGAGGGAACCCAGGTCTAAACATGAAATCCATATACGTTTCATATACACATTATACACATAGCCTGAAGGTAATAGACAGTATTTTTAGTGTGCCTGAATTTTAACTAAGGTATGTCACGTGAGCTCAGGTGTGACAATTTCCACTTGCAGTGTCATGTCAGTTTCAGATTTTGGAACATTTTGTGTTTCTGATTATGGGTGTTCAACATGTATATGTCATGTAGTGAAATATACAAAATATGAGTTGAAATTTGTATCTATTTATAGCAAGTTTTTAGAACTGCGAAAGGGAGCTTAATATTCATTTTCGTTAAAATGTTCCCTTGGTAATGGCTGTGTTTCCTGTCAGTTACACGTGTCCTTTCATTGTGATAAATTCTAGGATAAACAGAAAAGAAGGATGTGATTGTAACCCTTCAGTTATTATATTTGAGGGCTCAATATTTACCTTAAATAAAATTTGCCATGCTTGCCTGTTTGTTGTTCCTCTCTCATTTCTTTTCTGTCTTAGCTAATTAAGCATCCAAAAATGGTTCTTAGACCTTATAATAAAGATTGCTTGAGCACTTTCCAACAGGTATTTGAGAATAGAAATATTTGATATGTGATAAACATTGAATAAGATCATAAATGTAGAAATTTTAACATAAGAAGATAGAAGTAGATAATTACTAATCAGAATATACTGTGCAACAATATTCTTGTCTGTGTGTAAATTGGATATCATGTTTATCCACTTTATATTATTTAACTTTCTGCCTTTCTTGAATATCACACATTATTTCTTTTTTTTTTTTAAGATTTATTTAATTTATTTGAGAGAGTTAGAGAGAGAGAGAGAGAGAGAGAGAATCTTCAACCCAATGGCGCAGATAGAGGGAGAGAATCTTCTACCTGATGGCAGAGAGAGAGGATCTTCCATCTGATGGCTTACTCCCCAAATGGCCACAATGGCTAGGGCTGGGCCAGACTGAAGTCATGATCCAGGACATCTTCCAGGTCTCTTATGTGGGTGCAGGGGCCCAAGAAATTGGTCTATCATTTGTTGCTTTCCCAGGTGCACCAGTAGGGAGCTGGATCAGAAGTGTAGCAGCCGGGAATTGAACTGGTGCCCATATGGGATGCCAGCATCTCAGGCAGTAACTTTACCCCACTATGCCACTACGCCAGTCTTTTTTTTTTTTTTTAATTATTTATTTATTTATTTGAAAGGCAGAGTTACAGAGAGGCAGAAGCAGAGAGAGAGGTCTTCCATCTACTGGTTTACTCCCCAAATGGTGAGAATGGCCGGAGCTGGGCCAATCAGAAGCCAGGAGCCAGGAGCTTCTTCTGGGTCTCTCATGCGGGTGCAGGGGCCCAAGGAGTTAGGCCATTCTCCACTGCTTTCCCAGGCTAGAGCAGAGAGCTGGATTGGAAATAGAGCAACCAGGACTTGAACCAGCGCCCACATGGGATGCTGGCACTGCAGGCGGTGGCCTTACCCGCTACACCACAGCGCTGACCCCTACAACTCCAGTCTTAACACATTATTTCTTAAAGACTATCATTTGGTTATGTTTAATATCTTCTATACATTCACAAAAAACTGGGAAATGTTGATTTAGAGAAATGGTTCCTAAACTGAAGTCAGTTTTCAGTCTTTTTTTCTTATTTTATGAGAAGTGGGATAGGCCATAAATAAAATACTAAAATTTTAACCCTCAACTTTTGTGTTGACAGCACTCCATATCAGGATTGTAGATAATAAGAATTAGATTGTCTGCCTTACATGTTGCTGTTCGACAGACTTTGAATTCCAATTCTGATACATAAAATTTTTAATATAATATCTATTAGTAATAAGCATCCAATATCAATTATTGAATGCCTACTATGTTCTAGGATTTCTGTAAACTATTGCCTTCCTTCTTGACACAAACTGTATTTTGTTGGTGAAGAGTAGGTTAATGAGATTAATCTGGTAAGTGAAGTTAAGATTGAAACCCAGATCCATCCAAACTCAAAATTGTCTGGTTAGCACTATTCTGATGCTGTCAGTTTTATAAAACCATTAGGTGCAACTTGAGTGAGCTTATCAGATAGAGTGTTCTCTATTAGGCTTGTAAAGTGTTTTAGAAGGGTGCTTTCACTTATCAAGTACCATTGAACTGTAAATTATACCCAGCTCTAGGATGGTTATATCACTATTAAGTAGAACCGGAGCGTCTGAACTGGAAACCAGGAGGGATTTCAGCTTACTTTGCATTCCACTGGAGAAGTGTTTACATAGTTGTTTCAAGATAATACCTTGTGTGAAAATGTGACTCTTGGGGAAGCTGAATAAAATAGCAGTTACCCTGTAGTGTATTAAAAGGCCTTCCTGGGCACTAATAAAATAATTAGGATTCATAATAGGAACAAAAGGCACAGTCTGGGGTAAGTAATTTTGGCTGTGATTTCTGTATTTAATCAGTGAAGGGCCTTTTCCTAGCTGAAATTTTTAACTTTGCTTTGGCAGCTTTGGGCCAGAAAGTAAGCTTTTTCTGTAGTTTTGTTTAAACTAAAGTCCCTACTTAAGATATAGAATAAAAAGAGTGCTTACTGTAAAATTCCCTTGAGACAGAGTGTCATGCCCTGATTCATGTCGTTTCAAACAAAAGTACAAAGGTAAATTAGAAAGTATGTGGAAAAGTAGAATTAAAAAATGAACTTACTGTACAAAAATGTTTAAGTCTGCATCTGAGTGGTCTTCAAAAAGTTCAAAGAAAATATGTATTATGAAAAAACTTTGCATAGATTTTGAAACTTTTTGCACTACACTAAACTTATCTTTTAATACTCATAAACTCTTTGAAGTATCTTATATTCTTAGTGTTATTTTTTTCTATCCTTGGCCAAATTTTTTTGTTCATACAACTGCCAGATTTAAAATGTTTTTACTTTATGAAAATTTACTTTTTTTAAAAAATTATTTATTATTGAGAGGTAGTTACACACAGAGGGAGAGATAAAGAGAAAGACCTTCTATCTGATGGTACGCTCCCTAAATGGCCTCAACTGCCAGAACTGGGCCGATCTGAAGCCACGAGCCAGGAGCTTCTTCCAGGTCTCCCACATGGGTGCAGGGGTCCAAACATTTGGGCCATCCTTGGCTGTTTTTCCCAGGCCATAGCAGAGAGCTGGATCTGAAGAGGAGCAACTAGGATGAGAACCAGCGCTCATATGGGATGCTGGCACCGCAGGCGGAGGCTTAGCCTACTATGCCACAGCTCCGGCTGGAAAATTCACTTCAGGTTACTTTTTCAGGAATATCCATATTTAGATACAAGGCATACCTGTAGTGACAACTTACTATTTTTCTTGTGTACTTTATTAGATCTGTTAAGTTCTGTTAAGTTCATGGGCTACCTTTGGAACTGCTTTATTTATTTATTTTTTTTGTAGCAATGAAGTTGAAAGAATGATGGAAAGGCACGAGCGTTTTAAACCTGAAATGTTTGCAGAACTGCTACAAGCAGCAAATACGACAGATGACTATAGGAAATGCCCTGTAAGTATAATTTGGGGGACAGTAGGGTGCTTCTGTGTTTATAGTTTGAAAGTAGGCATTCAAATATTATTATACAAATAATAATTCTATATAGGAAATTTAAGAATATATTTTCATTTAAAAGATGTACTTACTTATTCTAAAGGCACAGTTACATAGAAAGAGGGTAAGCCTGAGAGAGAGAGAGAGAGAGAGAGATCTTTAATCTACAGTTCTTTCCAAAATGTTCACAAAGACAATGGCTGGGCCAGGCTAGAGCCAGGAGCTAGGATCCAGGATCTCCTCCATCTGTGTCTCCCTGATGGGTATCAGGGGCCCAGAAATAGGCGATCATTTGCTGGTTTCCTCAGTGGATCTGGATTGAAATCAAAGTAGCCAGGACTGAAACTGGTACTCTTACATGGGATGCTGGTGTCGCAAACTTAACCTGCTGTGCCGTGCCAGCCCCATTTTCTTTTTTAAAAAATGAATATGATAAATGATTTTTTCATTTAATATTGTTTTTGACTTTAAGGGTTTATTTCTGCTTCCTTTAGGTTAAATTTTTGTCTAACAGGCAAAAATCTCCCCAAATACTTTATAATAAACTTCTTGTTAACAGTTAAGACAAATAGCATGTTGGAAGTCAATTAACAGTATGTTGAAGAAGTAAGTTTCACATATATGTTGGGATTGTCATTGTATAATAAAAACTTGGTACAACTTTGCTGTGGTATATCTGTTTTGATGCTTTTGGAACTTGCCTTTTCTGTTTTTTTTTTCTTTCTATAGAGTAACTGTGGCCAAAAAATAAAAATTCGTCGTGTTTTAATGAATTGTCCAGAGATTGTTACAATTGGTTTAGTCTGGGATTCTGAGCATTCTGACTTGACCGAAGATGTTGTTCGGAATCTAGCAACACATCTCTATCTTCCTGGGGTATCTTTCACTGTTTTCATTCATTTCTTCTTTTATTTTTAAATTCTTGTGAAGAGTCCTTATATGTTAAGGTACAATTAGTTAATGCTTTTCAGAGCTAAATTTTCTTTCTAAAGCAGAAATAATGTTTGAATGTATTCTTACACATTTAATCAAATCAAATTGTCCTGCATAGAGTAGAAGTAGCTTTCAGTTACAAGCTAAACTGTCCCCTGACTTTTCCCTCCTTCCTTCTACAATGATGATGATCTGAATATCTGCATAGGATCATGATTATAAATGTAAATGCTAATCTAGAAATATTTAAATTTAAAATTTATTTTCGGCAAGGATCTCTTGATATGATTGGTTATTTTCTGGATATAATTTGAATTGGCCCATGTTTCAGTTAAAAATCTAAATAATAAAACATTTAGTGCATGTTCAAATATGTGATTTGGGAATTATCAGGACTTTGTCTGAAATTGGGAGTTTATGTCAAGTATCATTCATGTTATTGGAGATATTGTATTACTGAACTGATTTGTAATGAATTATTTCATTGGACTTAAAATTTCTATGAACTAATTGAAAGTAGTAATTCTGTTAACAGTACAATGGTCAGGAATGATTTCAATAATAAAATCATAATCTTGGATTTAGGCAATATACAATGAAAAATTTTTTTTCATAATGAGTCAGATATACAATTCACCAAGTTATTTTTAAAAGATATAACATTAAATGTACACTGTTAATTTTTTAAACAGCTTTTTTATAGGGTTACAGATGAAAATGCCAAAAACAGTGAACTTCACCTTGTTGGTATGATCTGCTACACCAGCCGACATTATTGTGCCTTTGCTTTTCATACCAAGAGTTCCAAATGGGTATTTTTTGATGATGCCAATGTGAAAGAGGTATGTGATATTTCTATAACTGGAGTAATTATTGTGATTTTGCTTTTTTGAATAAATGGCATAATAATATATATATGAAAGATATAATGATGTAAAATAATAAATTAGTAATAGCATCATTCATTAAGTTCAAATTTCCTTATATTGATTTTGGCTTATTTTGACTTTAACTACTAGTAGTCCATTTCTGGAATAATAAAAGATTGATAATAAATACTAGTGTACAAACATGTAACTTTCAGTGATGATCCCTTTTGTCAGATACATAGTCTTATATATATTTCTTTATGAATAATTCACAATTTCCTATATATCACCAACTTGTTAACTAGTCATGAAAACATAATTGCTTTTTTTTAAATTAGGACAATCTTCAAATTTTGTGAGTGAAGTTAGAAATGTCTATTATATCTTTTGGTAAATATTTACTCAAAATTAATGTCTAGAAAATTAGTGAATAATGGTTCTTAAGGGGTATCGGAACCACATGTGGAGCTTTGTATAAAACATGTATTTCTGGATTCTTGAATTCTTAATTAAGTAGTGTAGGGGCAAAGTGTCTTAATTTTTAAGTTCCAAAGGAGAATCAGACTTGTCATACTTGAAGATAAAGATATTGACAGTACTGTTTTCAGACTTAGTGGTTTTGAGAGTCCTGTTATTAGCCAGTAAACACAAAATAATTATTTTTTGGTTGTTATAAGCAACTTATGTAGAATTGTGTTTACTTTCACTTTACTTTCTAACAGGCCATTTATCATTAGTGCTGTGATTATTTATACATAGCAATTTCTTAGATAATATTCAGTAAGCACGAACCTTGAAAATGACTGAAAAATTGTACTTCATCAAAACTTAAAATGTTTTCTCTTCAGTAAGTACTCTTAGGAGAATGAAATAACAAGACACAGAAAATATTTGTCAAATATATCTCTAATGAAGACTATTTCTAGAATATTTGAAGAATTTTTACAACACAGTAATAAGGCAATCAAACTCTAAAAATGGACAGTTCAGAGAAGAATATATAGGAATGTACCTTGGGATAGTATTCAACACATTATTAGCCACAAGGGAAATACAAATTTAGTTCACAATGAGATTCTAATTCTCACTTGTTATAATGGCTAAAATTAAAAAACTGACCATGCCAATAGTTGACAAGGATATGGAACAGCTAGACTTCTCACATGAGGCCAGTGAAACTGCAAAAATCAAACACAAATTTTGGAAACCAGTCTGTCAATTTTTTATAAATTTAAACCTATACTTACCATACAACCATACAGTCCAGCAGTTCCCCTCCTGAGAAGACGTATGTCCACATAGAAATTGCACTTGAATGTTCATGGTAGCTTTCTTCGTAGTTAAAACTGGCAAGACCACAGATGTCCATCAACAAGTGAATGGATAAGCAAATTGTGCTGTGCTATCTAGTGGAATATGATACTCATCAATAAAAAGGAATGAACTCTTGATTCATGCAGTAATGTAGACGAATCTCAGAAGCATTATGCTAAGTGAAAGAACCAAGCCATAAACAACTAATACTGTGACTCTGTTTATATGGAGTTTTAGAAAATGAAAAAGTTATAGAAAGGAGGTCAGTGTTTTTTTAGGAGCTGAAAAAGGGAGCTTTTCAGATTTTGAGGTGAGGATTACATGACTTTGTAATTTTGTCAGAACTCAATGACTTGTCCATTGTAACTGCATAATTTTATTTTATGTAAATTGCCAGTAAAACCAATGAATACTTTTGATGTCCAAAAATAAACATTTTGCTTAAATTACTTAGTGTTTTGATACTAGGGTTTAAGGAGTTCCATCTTGAGTCAGTGTGTAACATTTGGAGTGTCTACTTTGCATCTACACAGTTTAAATTGTCAAAATTTGTAGGAAGAACTGCATCTGTGAATCTCCCTGTGAGGTGTTTTTGTTTGTTTTTAAACTGGTCCCTCAAGTCTATCTCAGAATCCCAGCTGAATGTGTGTTTGAAAAAGCTCCTCAGGATTTCCTTTTTTAAAAGGCCCTCTCCCTGCAAAACCCGGTATTCAGAATGCTTTGTGATATTTTTGTGTTATTTTCAAAGCAGCTTTGTAGAGGTGTAAAGTGCACCCAGTTTAAGTATGCAATTTGAGTTTTGATGGATGTATACACCTATTTCACTGTACAGTCAGTATATTGAATGTTTTTATCATTCCAGAAGAGTTCTGTTGTGCTCCTTTTTCCTGTCAGTCGGTTTGTCATGTCTTGGGCCCAAGAAATCACTGATCTCACTATAGATTAGTTTTGTCCATTCTACAGTTTTATATAAATGGTCTTTTGCAGTACGTTCTATTCTGTGTCTGGCTTCTTTCCCTTAGCATACTACCTTTAAGATTAATTTGTATTATTTGTATTAGTGCTTCATTTTTGTTGTGTTCCTTTTGATGGCTATACGACAATTTATGCATTTGCCTGTTGAAGAATGAACAATCTTTGTGTGAACATACATTTTTGCCATTGCTCTTAGGTAATGCCCAGAAGTGGAATTTCTTGGTTGTATGGTGTATGTTAAATTGTACAAGAAATTGCCAAATGGATTTCCCCAGTGGTTGATAGAATTCCCGTCAGCAATGTACCAGAGTTCCTGTCATTCCATGGTCCCAGCAGCAGTGTGTTGGCAGTTTTTAATCTGGCCCTTCTAAGTGGGTGCATCATACTGTTTTCACTGTGATTTTAATTTGCATTTCCCTTATGGTTGATAGTGTTTTCAGCATCTCTTCATGTGCTGATTGGAGATTCTTGTATCTTTTTTTGATCAAGTGTTTGTTCAGGTGTTTTGTCAGCTTTTCCAATTGGATAATCATCTTGTTAATGAGTTGTGGCAATCCTTTATTCCATCCAGAAGTCTTCTATTAGATGTATCTTGCTTATTTTTAAAGAATTTTTTCATAGTGTCTTCCCAAGAAAAGAAGTTGTTAGTTAATTTTGATTGAAATCATTTTATAAATTTTGTTTTTCTATGGTTTGTTTCATATCCTGTCTAAAGAATCTTTACCTTCCCCAAGATAGAAAGATTTTTTCTTTTGTTTTCTTCTGTAAGTTTTGTAATTTTTATTTGATTTATTCTGAGTAAATTTTTGTGATTTATTGGTAATAGGGTTGAAATTCTCTTTCTCATCCACTATCTGTTTCAGCATTTGTTGAACTGACTTGCTGGTATTCTTCTTTGAATTGCCTTGGAATCTTTGTCAAAAATCAATCAACCATGTGTGTGGAGAACTTTTTAAAATTTATAATTAAATCTTCATTTAGAAAGTCTATAATTTCTGCCAACCAATTTTTTAAATGATAATGTTTAAGTTGTATGACAATAAATGGGACGGCCAAGAAGAAAACCACCGTACATGGGAAAAATGATGGCTCCATCTCACTGTCTCCTTGGCAGTGGGATTACCAGCTCCTCCACATCTTTGCCAACCAATGGCTGATGGCGTGGCCATCTTTTTATGTATCTATTTTCCACCTGCATATCTTCGTTGAATTCAAACATTTTGCCCATTTTTTTCGGTTATTGCGTTCTTGTTACTGGGTTTTGAGAATTCTTCATGTAGTCAGAAAAGACCCAGATATATGATTGGAAATAGTCTCTCTGAGTCTGTGGCTACTTTCTTACATGTTATAAATAATGACTTTGACAAAGTCACTTTTGATGACATCCAGCATATTAATTTGATTATTTATAATTTTATTTGTGTTTAATTAAAATTATTTGTAATTTTAATGTTACTTTTGACTGATCCAAAATCACAAATACTTCTCATGTATTTTCTTGAAGAAGTACTGTGGTTTCCATCTTTCCTTTAGGTTTATAGTCTATTTTGAGTTAATTTTTGTATATGATGTGAATTAAGGGTCAAAATTAATCTTTTGAAATGATTTATATTTGAAGGCAGAGAAAGACAAATAGAAAGCACTTCTGTTTGCTGGTTTTCTCCCCTGTGCCGCCGACAATGGCCAGAACTGGGCTGGGCCAATGAGTTAGAACTCAGTCAGGTCTCCCTTGGGGGTTGCAGGAGCCCAGTTTCTTGAGCCATCCCTGCTGCCTCCCAGGGTCTGCATTAGCAAGAAGCTGGAGTCAGGAGCCAGAGCCAGATGTTGAACCAAGGTATTCTAGTGTGGGCATGGGCATCTTAACTGCCAGGTAAAACTCCTGTCCCAAATGCATCTTTGTGTGTGTGTGTATGTGTGTGTGTGTTTTAAGATTGTTTATTGGGGCCGGCACTGTGGCGCAGCAAGTTAATGCCCTGGCCTGAAGTGCCGGCCCATATGGGTGCTGTTCAAGACCTGGCTGCTCTACTTCCAATCCCATTCTCTGCTATGGCCTGGGAAAGCAGTAGAAGATGGCCCAAGTCCTTGGGCCCCTGCACCCACATGGGAGTCCTGGAAGAAGCTCCTGGCTCCTGGCTTCAGATCAGTGCAGCTTTGGCCTTTGCGGCCAAATGGGGAGTGAACCAGCGGATGGAAGACCTCTCTCTCTCTCTCTCTCTCTCTCTCTCTCTCTCTTTTTCTCTCTGCGTAACTCTTTCAAATAAAATAAAGCTTTTTTTTTTTTTTAAATATTTGTTTATTTATTTGAAAGGCAGAGAGAGAAAGAGGTCTTCCATCCACTGGTTCACTCCCAAATGGCCACAATGGCCAGAACTGGGCATATCTGAAGCCAGGAGCCGGGAGCTTCTTCCGGGTCTCCTGTGTGGGTGCAGGGGCCCAGGGGTTTGGGCCATCTTCTGCTGCTTTGCCAGGCCATAGCAGAGAGCTGGATCAAAGGGGAGCAGCTGGGACTCAAACCCATGCTCACATGACATGCTGGTGTCACAGACGGCTTAATCCTTTGCACAACAATGCCAGCCTCTCTATTCATTTTTTCTGAGGCCAATGCCACACTATCTTGATTACTACAAACTTATAACAAGCTTAGAAGTCATAAAGTGTCTACACATTTTTCAGTCAATATTAAGGTTCCATCCATTTCCATATAATTTGAGAAACATCTATCAGTTTTCACACACAAGCCTGCTCTAGGTTTTCATAAGGTTTACACTGAGTCTAAATTGAGAATTGACATATTAATAATTTTGAGTCTTCTCACCCCCTGAACAAGGCATCTCTCTTTTACATAGGTTTCCTTAAATATCTCTCAAGGTTTTTTGTTGTTGTTGTTGTTGTTGTTGTTGTTGTTGTACAAGTCTTAAATTTTGAGGGCCGATGTTGTTGTTTAGTAGGTAAAAGCTGCCTCCTGCAGTGCCAGCATCCCATGTGGGTGCCAGTTCGGGTCCCAGCTGATCTACTTCCAATCCGGCTCCGTGGAAGTGTGCCTGGGAGGGCAGTAGAGGATGGCCTGGGTGCTTGAGCCTCTGCACTCATGTAGGGGATCTGGAAGAAGCTCCTGGCTTCAGCTTGGCCCAGCACCGGCCATTGTGGCTGCTTGTGGAGTGAACCAATGGATGGGAGATTCTCTCTCTCTTTCTCTCTCTCTTCCTCTCCCTCTCCTTCTCCCTGTTTGTAGCTCTTTCAAATAAACAACCAAATCTTTATTTAAAAAAAAATAAACCTGAAATGTTTTTTACCAGATTTATCCTTAAGTATTTCACATTTTGAAGGCATTGTAAATATTTTCAAATTTCATCCTCCAATTATTTGTTGCTGATATTTAGAAATATCATTGAATGTTGTATATTGATCTTACATCCTGTAACCTTGCAAAATTCCCTGATTAATTTCAGTAGTTTGTGAGGTTTTTGTTTGTTTTAGATCCCATTGGATTGTCTACATATGTGGGCATATCATCTGAAAATAAAGATGCTTTTTCCTTCTTCAAAAAAAAATGATAATGTTTAAAAAACTTATTTACTAAATAAGATTAATCATATCATATGATGGACAATTGAACTGCTACCATCTAAGTGTCTTTAAAACTTTTTTAATTTCAGATCAATTCAGAATCTTTGCCTTTTCGTGTAAACACATTGATTAAGAGGTCTTATTTTATTCTTTATGGTTTTTAAAAAGGTTGGAGCTAGATGGAAAGATGTGGTCTCCAAGTGTATTCGTTGCCACTTCCAGCCACTGCTTTTGTTTTATGCAAACCCAGATGGCACAGCGGTTTCCACTGAAGATGCACTTAGGCAGGTGGTCAGCTGGTCACATTACAAATCCGGTGCAGAAAATATCGGTAATTATTTTAAAATAGCATTTTTTAGTGTTTTTCTATTATAATGAACTAGGAATACTAGTATATTGAATATAAATGAATGTTGAGGATAATGTCAAAATTGAGTTTCATCACAATGGGGTTTAGGGAATTCTAGTACTTCTTGTTATGTTTAGAAAGGGAACTTTCCTTTTCAATGTGAGGATAATGTCAAAATTGAGTTTCAGTACAGTGGAGTTTAGGGAATTCTAGTACATCTTGTTGTGTTTAGAAAGGGACATTTCCTTCTCAGTGAAGTGAGAAACTTCAGGCGTCAGGCACTGTTACACAGCAGAGAAGAGCTTCTTACCTGGGAGCTCTATCAGTGAATACTGAAATTTAAAATGATTTAGTGGGATAGGTGTGGCACAGTGGGTTAAGCTGCATCTAGTGATGCCTACATCTCATATGACAGTGCCTGGGGTGGAATCCCATCCCCACTTCCATTCCAGCTTCCTGCTACTGTGCACTCTGCATGCAACAGGTGATGGCTCAAGTACTTGAGTCTCTGCCAGCCATTTAGGAGTCGATGGAGTTCTTGACTTTGGCCTGGCCAGTTCTGGCTATTGCCAGTATTTGGGCAGTGAACCAACAGATGGAAGCTGCTACTGTCTCTCTGTCTCTCTCTCTCTTATTCTTCTTTTCAAATAAATACAAATAAATAAACTTTAAAAAGTGATTAAGTACACCAGAAAAAGTTCAAAGCAGCTAGACCATTTGGCACTGCATTATTAAGTACATAAATATCCTTAGACAATGTTAATCCTTTTAAGTTTTAAGTAATTTTGTCTGTAGTCTTGAAAGTATCTGAACTATAACTCAAACATTTCCTTTCCTGGTAGTAAGGAAAACAGTGACACACTTTCACTTATTTTTTTTAAGGATGTGAAAAGCCCACAATTTATAAGTCAGATAATTCGAAAGAAAATGGAGTTGGCGACCAGGCCAAACAGAGAGAAAACCAGAAATTTCAAACTGATAATATGTCATCATTTAATCGGAGCCACATTCAGACAAGTGGAGGGAGAGGGCCAGGTATGTGTTTAAGTTGTCTTTTTACATTGTTACTGAACATGATGGCCACTTGCTTTCTTTACTAACTGAATCTGTAATTACTGGAGAGAATTATGAAGAAGGGAGATACTTCACTGGCTGTGTTAGCGACATAGAGAAAATGACAAGTAGATTACCAAATGTCTTTTGATTGATGCATTTCTCTAAGAGCTATAGTTTACCTGACCAGTTTGATTCCCAGAATTGTTTGAATTTCTCATGCACTCAGAGCTGTGGTAGGGCTGAGGCAGTCTACCCAGTAAAAGAAAGATCTGATAAGGCCTTTTTGTCAAGGAGTTAACACACAGCTTGAAAAAGACAAACATATTAATAATTTGGCATATATGCTAAAATTAAGTGGTTATTGGTGAATAGCTCAGAGTTGCTATAATAGTATTTTGTTCTTTTCTTTATTTTTATTCAACCCTGTATTAGATGCCATGACTGTGACTTGAGCCCAAAATGAGGCGTCACAGTGCAGTGTGGAGTTATGGTTTAGAAATACATAAAACTTAGTTGTGTGGATGTTCAGGATGATTTTATTGATAGCTTTGAAATGTTATTAATGAAGTAATATCAGACCATTAAAATGACCCAATGAATCCAGAATGAATAATTATCATCAACAAAGGTTTATAATACAGGCTTTTAAAAAGTCTTAGTGAGACTCTCTTTTTCCCTCTCATGAATTCTTGGTACTTGAAGATTAAGACATTTTTTGGTTTTTCAAAATACACCTACTTTAAGTCCAGTAATAGTGTGTATGTGGTTGAGAGCACAAGCTTTGGAATCAGAGATGTTGGGCTCATATCCCAGTTCTACATTTACAGGGGATGGGAATGTGGGCAAGTGTCTAGTTTGTCCTTGCCTGAAATGGAGATAGTAATTGTACTTAATTTAAATGAGGATACATTTCGAATAATACCTGGCAAATAATGATCAGCTAGCTTTAGCTCTTGGTATTTAAATGGCAAGTCAGTTTTTTCTCTTTTTATGCTTGCTTTTAGGGCCATGCAAGAAATTTTAAAATAAAACAGTATATGTGCAGCATCAGGAAAAATCATACCGAGTTTTTAGTTAGCATAAAAATGAATTCATTGTGTGCTTTAATCTGTGTTTTAAATAAGTAAAACCTTAAAATGTTTATAGAGTTCTGTTTTTACTTTTGTTAAATATTTTGAGAAATGATCTGTAACATTGAAAGAATTTCTTTTACAGTTAAGTTCACTCACAATGATCAAAGGGAAAAGATAAGAGACATTTCTAGAGAATGTGCACTGAAAGCCATTGAACAGAAAAATTCACTTTCTCCACAAAGGAGAGATTTAGAGAAAGGACAAAGAAAAGATTTAGGCCGGCATAAAGGTAAGTGAAGAGCTTAGAGCATTCATTTAAAAAGAGACTACTAAAAATTTTACTTTAAAATTGAGTGTCATAACATTAAACTTAATTTCTATGTGTTTATGTATATCTATATGTTTGTTAGTGTGAGTTCTTTATTACACCTAAACTAAACCTAAAAATGCAGAGTATTCCTGATTTTTACATAATTGTAGCCTGAGAGACTAGTGTTTTGTGTTTTGATTTTTTTAACTTTTATTTATAAATGTCCTTCACTCATGTGGAATATTCAAATAATAAGGGGGGGTTATACAAAAAGTGACAGGGCTTCTTTCCCTGAAATCTCTCACCTTCGTGTGACCTCAGTTACTAGTTTCCAAGTCGTTATAAGCATGTCTTACTTTCTGTGCATTTTTGCTCTTCTTTTTCTTATGGCATAGTTGGACTCTAGAGACAGGTATCTGCTGCAGTGATGTCCCTCTACATCTCCAGGTGTATTTTTTGGGTATAGCCATAGCACAAAGTCATTTCGGAGGAAGTGCTGGGTCAGGGTATGTTTATTTTTAATTTTGACAGATGTGATGTGTCTCAGTTGCCTTCTGAATGGCTGCTGCACCACCAGTGAGTGGATGTCTGTTTCTTCACTCGCAGCAGCAATTGCTTTAACGCATGTTTAAGTCTTTACCAGTATATTTGGTGACAAATATTTCTCTGATTTTTGTAAATTGAGCTAGAATGCTTTTTTTCAAAAAACTATTTGAATTATCTGCCTCTTAGATCATTTTAAAAAGTCTGTTTCTTTTATAAAGGCCTCATTAGCATAAATGGGGACTGAAGAAGCACTTTATCTCCAAGTATGCAATATAATTACTTATTATTTTCCAGTGATTGCTTTACCTTTCTTCTCAAACAAGATATTTGTCTTGTGATTAAAAAGTGACTCTAAAGAGTTGTTTATTTGTAACTTTAATTAATTATTAAACTGTGTTTTTTTAAAAGATTTGGTTGATGAAGACCTGTCACATTTCAAATCTGGATCACCTCCTGCTCCAAATGGCTTTAGACAATATGGAAATCCACATCTGTATCATAGTCAAGGAAAAGGACCGTGTAAACATGACCGAGTTGCCCATCATGGTCGAGCTGCACAAGTAATAAGTTCAAGTAAATCCCAGATTCTTGCTCCAGGAGAGAAAGTGACTGGCAAAGTTAAGGCTGACAGTGGCACTGGATATGATACAGACAGCAGCCAGGATTCGAGGGATAAAGGAAGCAGCTGTAATAGCAGCAGTAAAAACCGGAACCGAGGTTGGAAACCTATGAGAGAAACATTAAATGTTGACAGTGTTTTTAGTGAAAGTGAAAAAAGGCAGCACAGTCCAAGACATAAATCAAATATCAGTAACAAAGTTAAATGTAGCAAAGACCAGAATTTTAGTAATTGGCCAAAAGAGAATCCGAAACAGAAAGGTTTAATGACCATTTATGAAGATGAAATGAAGCAGGAAATAGGAAGCAGAAGTTCCCTGGACTCTAATGGAAAAGGAATGGAGAAAAATAGAGGCTTTGTAGAGAGTAAAATTCATGGTGACAATTGGCAGATACAAAGGACGGAGTCTGGATACGAAAGCAGTGATCACATCAGTAATGGATCTACTAATTTGGACTCACCTGTTATTGATGGACATGGTACTATAATGGAGAACAGTGGTGTTAAAGAAATAGTATCCTTAAGGTAATACATAAAGTGAATGAATGATACTCTCTCTACCATCCTCTCTTGTAAATTGCAGTAATTTTTAGAGTTTGGGGTCAGTTAACTGCAATAGAAACCACATATTTATTTGATATTTCAGATTTTAATTTTAATAGTTATTTTCTGATTCCAGAAATAACAAGTTATTTTTAGGAAAGTTTAAAATAAATATATTACCATTGTTTTCACCACTGTTATTTATTGATTTGTACTACAGATTTTTCTTTTTTAAAAGATTTTATTTATGGGTTCAGTGCTGTGGTGTAGCAGGTAAAGCCATTGCCTGTGGCACGGGCATCCCATGTGGGCCCCAGTTTCAGTCCTGGCTGCTCTACTTTTGATCCAGCTCTTTGCTAAGGCCTGGGAAAGCAGTGGAGGATGGCCCAAGGCTTTGGGTCCCTGCACCTGTGTGGGAGACCTTGGATGAAGCTCCTGGCTCCTGGCTTCGGTTTGGCTCAGCTCTGGCCACTGTGGCCATTTCGGGAGTGAACTAGCGGATGGAAGACCTCTCTGTGTCTCTCTCTGCCTCTGCCTCTCTGCCTCTGCCTTTCAAATAAGATCTTTAAAAAAAAAAAAAAGATTTTACTTATTTATTTGAGAGGTAGAGTTAGAGACAAAGAGATGAAGAGACAGAGAGAAAGGTCTTCCATCCACTGGGTAACTCCCCAAATGGTCGCAATGGCCAGAGCTGGGCCAGTCCGAAGCCAGGAGCCAGGGGCTTCTTCTGGGTCTCCCACATGGGTGCAGAGACCCAAGCACTTGGCCATCTTCAACTGCTTTCCCAGGCCATAGTAGAGAGCTGAATCAGAAGAGGAGCAGGTGGAACTAGAACCATCATTCATGTGGGATGCTGGCGTCGCAGGAGGAGGCTTAGCCCACTTTGCTTTAAAGCATAGACTTAAATTGGCTGCATCTCAGTCACTAAGTTGATTGTTTAACTTTTCAGTCTGTGTGATTACTCATCATATCTCTGACATGTGCATTTCGATTTGAGCTGTATTTTTCCCTTTAATGATATAAAAGAATTTAGTTGAATAACTAAGATCATGTTTAAGTTAATTAATTCTGAATGTGTACATTTATTATATTAGTAGTAGTACAGTCACACTTGTCAGTGTAATTTTTTTAAAGATTTATTTATTTATTTGAGAGGCAGAGTTACAGAGAAGGGGAAAGATAGAGAGATCTTCCGTCCACTGGTTCATTCCCTTCATGGCTGGAGCAGCTGATGCTGGGCTGATTTGAAGCCAGGAGCTAGGAGCTTCTGGGTCTCCTGTGTGGGAGCAGGGGCCCAAGCACTTGGGCATCTTCCACTGCTTTCCCAGGCCACAACAGAGAGCTGGATCAGAAGTGGAGCAGCTGAGACACGAATGGACACACACATGGGATGCTGGCACCGCAGGCAGAGGCTTAACATACTACGCCATAACACTTGTCCCAGTAATTATGTTTTAAAAGTTTTATTTGAGCCGGCGCCGCGGCTCACTAGGCTAATCCTCCGCCTTGCGGCGCTGGCACACCGGGTTCTAGTCCCGGTCGGGGTGCTGGATTCTTTCCCGGTTGCCCCTCTTCCAGGCCAGCTCTCTGCTGTGGCCAGGGAGTGCAGTGGAGGATGGCCCAAGTCCTTGGGCCCTGTACCCCATGGGAGACCAGGGGTACCTGGCTCCCGGCTTCGGATCAGTGCTGTGCGCCGGCTGCCGCTGCGGCCATTGAAGGGGTGAACCAATGGCAAAGGAAGACCTTTCTCTCTGTCTCTCTCTCTCACTGTCCACTCTGCCTGTAAAAAAAAAAAAAAAAAAGTTTTATTTTGAAAGGTAGAAGACAGAGCACATGATTATTATGTCGACTGACTCACTCTGCAAATGCCTGCAAAAGCCAGGGCTGGACCAGGCTGAAAACAGGAGCCTGGAACTTCATTCAGGTCTCCCATGGGGGTGGTAAAGACCCAAGTACTTGAGAAATCATCTGCTGCCACCCAGGTTGGGCATTAACAGGAAGTAAGATTAAAAGTGGAGGGAGGTGGGGCCGCCACTGTGGCATAGCAGGTAAGCTGCCAACTGTAGTGCTGGCATCCCATACGGGTGCTGGTTCAAGTCCTGGCTTCTCCACATCTGATCCAGCTCTCTGCTATGGCCTAGGAAAGCAGTAGAAGGTGGCCCAAGTGCTTGAGACCCTGCACCTGCATGGGAGACCTGGAAGAAGCTTGGATTGGGCCAGTTTTAACCATTGCGGCCATCTGGGGAGTGAACCAGCGGATGGAAGACCTCTCTCTGTCTCTGTCTGTCTCTCTCTGCCTCTCTCTTTCAAATAAATAAATAAATCTTAAAAAAAAAAAAAAAAAAAAAAAAAGCTTCTGAAGCCAGGTCCTTTTGCCTTATGCTTACAGGCCACTTTAAGAAAAAAGTGGAGGTGGGACCCAAACCCGGACTCTGAGATAAGAGAAGCCGACATCCCAAGTGGCAGCTTAATGGCTGCAGTTCAACACCTGCCCCTTCTCTGTATTATTCTACAACATGCCCACGGCTTAGTGACTGATTTCTCAAGTCAGTCTAACCTCTTTTTCTGCTTTTAATCCTTCTAGAATATCTTAATTTGATATTAGCTGTGTCTGACCACATTCATTATTAAGCTAGATTTTCAAAAATCAGCTGCTCATATTTTATTAAAATAATTGTTTCAACAAGAACTCAAGGAAACTCTTTTTACTTGGCAAGACAATTTCATAACACTTCTTGGAAAAAGTAGCCGAATCCACCACATGGATCAGGGCTTGATAACCATAACCAAATAGACTTGAATTTTCATTATCAAGCAAATTAATTAGACTTTTACAACCTTAATATCCCAATGCAAAATGAAGACCATAACTACTTGTAAGCACTGAGAGCTATAAATTAAATAATGTACATTAAGCCGTATGGCATAGATTAGTTGTTTAGTGAGTATTAATTTCTTTTCTTTCTCTAAAAAATAAACTAAGATAATCCATGATAACTGATATGTTTGTTGTGTGTTTTATTTTCTAGTGATCAGCTTAAGATGAGTAACTCAAATTTAGAACACATGGACTGTAACTCCCATCAGAATAAAAACCACATAGGAGGTAAGCATTTCACTTAAATATAATCGTTGCAGTAAAGAATAGATTGCAATAATTTATTGTTTGCTGTTTTGACACTAACTAAGAGGAAATCCTATATGGCTATAGAAATTATTTAAAAGTAACTTTGAAATATCAATGAACAAATCATTTAAATTAATGTATAAAAGCATATTCTAATAAAGATAGTTGAAAGAAGGCAATCAGCATTTGTTTTTGTATGTATATTGTCTGTGCATGCTATGTTTTTCTCATATTCTTCAAAGTATTATGTATGACTTTGATTAGCTAAATATGCTTTTCAATTTTGTAGTCTTTTTTTTTATTATTTTATTTATTTGAAAGGCAGAGTTAGAAGGAATGACAGAGAAACAGAGTGAGTGAGAGAGAGAGAGAGAGAGTGAGAGAAATATGTTACATCTGCTCGTTCACTCCCAAAATGGCCACAATGGTTGGGAGTGGGCCTGGCAGAAGCCAGGAGCCTGGAACCCCATCTGGGTTTCTCATGTAGTGGCAGGAGCTCAAGCACTTGGGCCATCTTTCTCTGCTTTCTCATGCACAATAGCAGGGAGCTGGACAGGAGGTGGGGTTGAACCAGCATCCACATTGGATGTTGGCATCACAAGTGGTGGCTCAACCCATTGTGCTACAATCAATGCCAGCTCTTTTGCAGTCTACTTGCAAGGATGGTGGGAAAGTGCAGTTTTGTAGATGCCTGGAAATGTATGTGTAAACAGCTTTAATGACTACTTTATGAATTAAGAACAAAGAAAAAAATCGATAAAAAGCTTTCTGGGAAAGTTCAGTTTGGAAACAATAAATAATGTAGTGTATGGCATTTTTCTAGGTGATTTGTTAGCAAACCAGAGCCAGCCAGAAGCAAGAACAGATATTTGAACTTGTACAGCTTTCAGGATTGCTACTGGAGAACATATCTGAAGGATCTGGGGAAAGAGAGATCAAAGAAAGTGATGAGCGAGGCAGTTATTGATGTTGCAGCCAGGCAGTGTGTTCCGATTTTAGAATTCAGAGGGAAAAGAGGCATATAATTTTTCACAATAAGAAATCACCACAAACAACAAATTTTAAAGTCTTTTAGTCTCTATCGTCCTTAAGACTTTTGTGGAGATTATTTTTCAGGTTGCAGACATTGAACATGATTAATTGGTAAATTATTTTGTTTTCATCAAATGTTATAATATCAGAAGGAAACATTTATATTAAGGAAATAACTTTCCTTTCCCATATTAAAACGTCTCGCCTGTTTAAAAGATCTGATAAAAGTCTGGTAACCAAGTATTACAGGAAACAGTAGAGGGTTGGCCAGGAATCAGAGCAGAAGCCTGTGAGGTTGAACAATAACTGCAAGTTCAGTACTCTTTTCAAAATGATGCTTGCTTCCTGATGGTTATAAAAACACAAGGTCATAGGGATTTTGATGGTCCAGAGAACATTGCTTTATGAGCTTTGCACTGACTTTCTGGAATTACATAAAAGAGTATGTATGTAATGCACTTAATTTTTTTTTGTTGTGGCAAAGTATATATAACATCATTGAGAATTGTGTTTTTAAATGTATAGGTGTTCAATAAGTACATTTACATACAATGACTACCATAGGAGTAAAGAACAAATAGAAGGCACATGTTGTGGTGCGGTGGGATAAGCCACCGGGTGGGATGCCTGCATCCTATATCAGAGTGCTGATTCAAGTCCTGGCTACTCTGCTTACAATACAGGTCCCTGCTTATGTGCCTGGGAACCAGCAGATGAAGGTCTAAATACTTGACTCCCTGCCACCCATGTGGGTGATCCAGGTGAAGTGACTAGCTCTTGGCTTCAGCCTGGCCCAGTCCTAGTAGTTGCAGCCATTTGGGGAGTGAACCAGCAGAGAGACGATCTCTCTCTCTCTCTCTCTCTTTCTCTTCCTATCTCTGTCTCCCTCTCTCTCTCTTTTAAATAAATAAATCCTTCTAAAGAAAAGGACAAGTTGAAAAACTGACAGAAAAGAACACCTATGGAAAAGTAAAGTTTGGAAAAAATAAATATGTAGTGGTGTATCATTATTAGTGATTTATTAGCAACATAGAGCAGTTCAGAAGCAAATAAGATGTTTAAATGTCTACAGAAATCAGGATTGCTATTGGGAGAACACACATGAAGGATTTAGCAAAAGTAAAGGCCAATGGTAAGCTAGGGGTTATTGATATTGCATTAACCTTGTTGTACCACAGTGGCTGACGTCTATCTCCAGAGCTTTTTATCTTCTCAAACTGAAATTGTCTACCCATTAAGCAACTACTCTACATTTCCCCCTATCTCCAGCCCCTGGCAACCACTATTCTACTCTGTATCTCTGAAATTTGACTACTTTAGGTACCTTATATAGGTAAAATCATATAAAATTGCCCTTTTGTATCAGCATAATGATCTCAAGGTGTGTCAATGTTGTCATATATCAGAATTTTATTCCTTTTTTAAAAGCTGAGTAGTCCTTGTATTCTGTTGTATGATATATTCCATCTTGTTTATCCATTCATCAGCTGATGGACATTTGGGTAGGTAACTGCCTTTTAGCTATTGTGAATAATACTGCTGTTAACATTGGTTTGCAAATAAGTTTACATCCCTGCTTTCAGTTCTTTTGAGTATAAATCCAGATGTGCACTTGTTGGATCCTGTGTTTAGTTTTGGAGGAACTGTCATATTGCTTTTCAGAGCAGCTCTGTTACTTTACATTTGTACAAGCAATGCACAGGTTTCCACACTCTCCATATATTTGCCAACACTTGTTATCTTCTGGTTTTTAAAATAAGTTTCTTATTATGGTTTTGTGTAACCCATTTTAATTGAACTACATAAATATCACTATTTTAATGTTACTCCTTATTTTGTAAACTTCAAAGTCTACCATAGTTTTCTAAGCTGGTCTTTTCCTTGAGCACCTTTGTTAACCTCCCACCCTGTATTCCCTTCCCCAGTCCAGGACTGAAAATATGTGAGGAAGTGACATAGGAATGTTTTTCTCAAACTGAAAACTTGTCATTTTTTTCGTATCTTTATACCTCACAATTTCATTCTTTGTGACTGCATGTGATTTTATTGCTCTTCTACTGCACACTTATTTTTTAAAGACATTTATTTATTTTAATTAATTAATTGATTGATTAATTATTTGTAAGGCAGAGTTACAGAAGCAGAGGCAGAGAGGTCTTCTGTCCTTTGGCTCACTCCCCAAATGGCCACAACGGCCAGAGCTGGCCTGATCCACAGCCAGGAGCCTGGAGTTTCTTCTGGGTCTCCCATGTGGATGCAGGGGCCCAAGGATTTAGGCCATCTCCTAATGTTTTTCCAGGCCATAGCAGTCAGCTAGATCAGAAATGGAGCAGCTGAGACTTGAACCAGCACCCCTGTGGGATGCCTGTACTACAGGTGGCGGCTTTACCCGCTATACCACAGTGCTGGCCCCTGCACAGTTAGTTTTCAGTGTCTTTTATTTTCATCTACTTGAAAGGCAGACCAAGATATTTATCTATATCTAAATCTATATCTATGTCTATATATGTCTCTTCCATCTGGTGGTACATTCCCCAAATGACTATAATAGCCAGGGCTGGGCCATGCCAGAAGCCAGGAGCCTGAAACAGTCTGAGCCTCCTTTGTGAGTGGCAGGGGCCCAATCACTTGAACCATTATCTGCTGCCTTTCAGGATGCATTAGCTGGAAGTTGGATTGGAAGCAGAGGAGCCTAGACTTGAGCTGGCTCTTTGATACAGGATGTAAGCATCCCAATCAGCCTTCTAATCTGCTGGGCCACAACACCCACACCCACTGAAATTATTGACCTGTAGAATCATTTTCTACCAATAGCTAAAAGACTTCAAAGTATTTCATACAGAAGTTGGTGCTGTGACATAGCATTTAAAGCCACTGCCTGCAGTGCTGGCATCCCATATGGATGCCGGTTTGAGTCCTGGATGCTCCATTTCCCATTCAGATCCCAGATATAGCCTGGCAAAGCAGTAGAAGATGGCCCAAGGACCCCTGCACCTGTGTGGGAGAACCAGAAGAAACTCCTGGCTTTGGATTGGCATAGCTCTGGCCATTGTGGCCATTTGAGGAGTCAACTAGTGGATGAAAGACCTCCTTCCCTCTCTGCCTTTCAAATAAATAAATAAATATTTTTTTTTGTTGTTTTAAAAAAAGTATTTCATACAGGTATATTTACTTTATTTAATTGAATGGCAAAAAGAAAGACCAAATCAGAGATCTCTCATCTGGAGCTGGGCCAGGCTGAAGGCAGGAGCTGGGAACTCAATTTGAGTCTCCCATGGGGTGGCAGGAACCCAACTACATGAGTCATCACCTGTTGCCTCCCAGGGGGTACATTAGCAGGAAGCTAAAATCCGGATCAGAGCTGGGACTCAAAGCCAGGCACGGGATGCAAATGTCCCAGCCACTGTATTGAGTACTGTGGGGAGCAGCTCGGACTAGACTGTTACTCGAATTAAGACTTATTCTATGCATCTGCTCTCCCACAATATGGCGCTGGGAGAGAAGTAAACAGCTTCCGCACAGCTGCCTCCAGTTCAACTGATAAACTGTAGGACTTGCTCCTGATTGGAGAGCAGCGTACTCGGCGTGTGGGCAGCCGAGTTGGGATTGGCAGAGGAGGACTATAAAGGAGGAGAGAGACGGCATGCACCGGGAACATCTATGGGGAACATCTAAGGGAACCCGTGCAGCCCCCGAGAGAGCCGGCCGGCGGTGTGCCGCTCCCCTGCGGAAGTGGGGAATGCGGCCAGGGGGAACTGCCCTTCCACGGAGGTGGAAGGGATAGTAGCCAACCCGGGAAGAACCAGCAGCAAACCCGGGGAGGGCCGAGCAGACGAAAGAACAGCGCAGGGTCCTGTGTCGTTCCTCCATGAAGAGGGGGAGCGACATAATGGTGCCGTGACTCGGATAGGAAACCTAGCTTGGATAGGAAACCTAGGACGGATAGC